AGACTGTTTTCCTAAGGTGGATGGAACAATCTGAAGACACAGAGGCCGGGATTCAGCAGTGTGGGGGCTCCTGCTGCAGCGCTGGCCTCCAGTCCCGCCTCTTATTTCTGACTTTGCCTGGCAGGGCAGTTTTTGCTCAGTTTTGCTGATGCTATTATATGTGGGGCAGTGCTGTAGACTAGCATACCAATCCAGGTTAGAATAACTCTTTCAAAACAACTGTGATCTGAGTCCATGGGTGGTTTTGTCAGCATAACCGAGCGCTAACATGCTTTGTCCCAGGTCTAGGTACAGGAGTGAGGGCAGAAAGTGTAACTGCACATATCATGTAGAAACAAAATCAAAAGGGCAGGCAAAAAAAATACCTAAATGAAATTGGGCATTGCAGAAGTTACTTCTGCATTCTCAAGTATCTCAGTAGAAGAGACATATAAAGGATTTTTTTTTCTGCATATGATGGGAAACAAAAACTCTCAGCACTCTTTTTTCATCAGGTGCTCACCCGAAGTTTTGCTGTTAGGAGCAAGCACCATAGGGAGATGCTGGAATTACTTTATGGTGACGATTCCCTAGTACAGCTCCCTGTGCTGGTACAATTGGAGCATCAATGGCGAGGCAGAAACTCATGGGACACAAGCGAGGAGGAAAGAAAGGTCACTATTTAGGCTGGACCTACCACCAGACTAAATATTTGTTGATCTGCCTCCCCAGGAAGTCAAGGTGTTTAAATGTCTTTTTGCACTTCTTGGATTTAGTAAGGTGCTTGATGCAGGATCGTCTGACATTTTTGCAAGGAAGCTGGGACAACTCCAATCTGCGTGTGCAGCTGGTGAGAGAAAAGTATTGGCATAAAGGCTTGTCAGACTGGGAGGATGTGCTGAGCAGAGCTTTTGGGTGGGGTGGGAAGGGTGAAAGTCAGTATCTGATACTATTCAGTATTTTCAGTAATTTGATGTAAACAAGGGAACTGTAGGCATATTTGTTGAGCTTGCAGTTTAGTAGGCTGGGAGGGGGACAGGATTGAGACTTACAATACCTGGAGAAGCTGAGAAGAATGGGAGAGGACCAAAGAAAAATGCAGAGTTCCTACGTTTTGGTATGTCTAGTCAGTGGCACGAATGGCTGGCTAGATAGCAGCTCTGCAGAAAAGGATTGGAGACCTTTCATGGGTTGTGAGCCAAGCACAAATGAACATATTATACACTTATGTATACAAAAAAAGGCAAACTGGCTGGGACATATAGCTGAGAAGTGTCATTATTAATAATTTAGCTCTATAAAAGCTGATAAAGCCTAGGCTGGAATATGTACCCAGTTTTGGACACTATACTTCAATAAAAATGCAGATCAAATGGAAGGAGTCCAAAAGAGAGTAAACAAGCAAAGGTCTGGAAAATGTTTTCTATAGAGGAAGGTTGAAACAACTGGCTTTGGCCATTTTATATAACAGAAGACTGTAGGAAACCCAAGGTTTTCAGATGTATAGAGACAGATGCAAAGAAGAAGAGAATAAATTGTTCTTTTTAATGGTTGCAGGTAAGGCAAGGATTAATGAGTATAAATTGCAGGCAGGTAAATGTAAGTTAGGCATTCAGACAGGTTTTCAAGTAGTAAGGACGTCTGTGTGCTAGGATAATTTCTCTACAGCAGCACGGCATTTTTTTGTGAGAGATCTTCAAGAACAGGTTGGACAGACTACTGTAAGGAATAGTTTAGTATATTTTATCCAACCTGAGTAGTCAGAAAGCGTTAACTGATTGAAGTTTCTCCATCTCTACTTTCTGTGATTATTACCTGCTGCTTCAGGTACCAAGGGGTGTGGACATGAATCCCATGTCAGTGACAGAAGTGCTGCCCCATGCCTACCTGGTTGCCTCTGCTTCTGCCCCACCAGCTAATCCGCTTATTTGCGTACACCGTCAGAGTGAGCCAGAGTAGCTGATGTGGCTGAGAACAATAGAACTTAGTCAATATGGGTGATCTTGAGTGGAATGAATAAAGCAGCACTCAGGTGAGCAAGGCAGAAGGGTGTGAAGCACGGGCGTAATTCTGCTGCAGGAATCAGTGCCAAGTGGCACCCGTCGCATCGTCGCACAACTGTCAGCTTTCCAGCTGTTCTCTCTTGGAAATAGCGCAGTGGGATGCGTCTCTAATCTGTCAGGGTGAAAATTACAATTATGATTTGCCCCATGCTGATGACTGATTTTTATTTTTTAAAAAAATTATGAAAAGTATGAAAGAGTATGAAAATGTTAAGCATCGGGCTGCAACTTCCTTCTGGCCAGAAGGAAGGGCAGTGGTAGGAACTGCAAAAGGGGCATACCTGCATGATGGGTCTCCTGCAGAGCTTACCCAGAGCCTTTGTAGTTCTTCATAGGATTTTCTTGTTTGTTTGGTGTATAAAGGTAACAGCGTTGATCCACAACTCTGGGCTATGTAGTTGTTTCAAAGCCAGAAAAACGTGCAAGGCTTAATTAACTTCAAATGGAGTATGATTCTACACCCTCTCCTGACATGCCAGCCCCATCGTAGAATGCTGAGGGAAGCAGTGAAGGATTTGTGCCCTCTTGACATTTTCAGAGGTTGAATATGAAGTCCTCTGTCATGTTGCCAGCCCGAAGAGCTACAGCCCAGTGCTTCTTTCCAGAGGACTAGTCATGAGAGACTCAAATGGTTCTTTTCAAGCATTCTTCTTGTAGCAGTTTTGCATTACTTACTATTTAATGTGTATGTATTTTGGGGGAGAGTTTTTCTTTTCTTTTTTTTTTTTTTTTTCTGAACAGGGATTCTTATCTTCTTGCTTTGTTGTTTGAGTTTGCCTGGGCTACTTGTGACACTAGCTGAACTGCAGTTGATTTTCCTGACCATTTGCTGTGGTCAGGGAAATGTCAATTAAAGTTCATGTGCTGCCTCTTACTGACAGCAGAGGTAGGCGGGAAGGGGAGACTAAAGAATTACTGCTGTGCCTGCAGATTCCAGTGGTAGAGAGTTTTTTTAAGGCTTAAGATGAGGCGTGCTTTGCTTGTCTCCAGGGTAGATTTTTATCCTGATCTGTATACTGCATGGTATCTCTGCCCAAGTGCACCTGAACTATTATTTTGCTTTTCTGTGATGTGCATACAGAGAAAGAAATGTGTATTTGAGTTTGAGCACGTGCATGTTCAAAAGTGGTTCACGTGGCTTGGAAAGAGTATTTCCCAGTATTATTTGTTGCTTGCTCTTCATTGAAGTGTGATGGTCAGACTGGCCCAGAGTTGCTATCTCAGCTAGCCAGTGAAGTTTTTGCAGTTGTTTTTGCAGTTATTTTTGCAGTTATTGCAAAACCATATCTCTACCTTTACTTTTGGTTTATCCCAAAGTGCAATCAGTGCACTCCCATTTCACAGCTTGCATAACCTTCTCCAGTGATTTTTCTCCGTAACCAGATTGTACTAAACTATCTTTAATCAGAACAGGAACTATTTGCCCCATCATTGTAAGGGTCTGTATACTCACTCACGATGGTTAGTTTTCAGTTACCGTTCATTTATTCTACAGGTTATTCTTCATTCACTTCTGCAGTCTGAATCCCATCTATGATACCCATATGTGCTCAGAATTTACTCCATTGATGTGAACCTAGAGGGTCTCTGTCTATATTTCACAGAACGTGTGTCTGTCTTAACAATCTGTCTTTGGCTAATCTGTTTTATTCTGTAGGAAAGAGTTTAGAAGTCTACACATGCGTTAGAAGTAGTTACTTATATTACATTTGCACAAGGGCTTTCAATTTTTAATAGTGTTTTGAGATTTCATTGTGAAGTTACATTTGAGAAATACTTAATTTTTCTCAAGTGAAAAATAATATGAATAGACTGTATGTCATAGGACCTAGGTGCAATACTTTGGAGTTATTAACTGTACAGGTTTAGATTTCTGTCTTCAGAAGACTTTCAACTTAGCTTTAGAGCTGAGTTTTTTAACTTTACTGTTTAGCTTGATGAATTTTTTAAAAGGTGGTTTTAAATATGAATACTTCAGAAATAGGAAAAGAAATTTTTATGTTCCCTTCAGGTAGCTCTGAATAGAAGCCGCAATGTGCTTGTTTTGAAAAATAAGCTACTTGTGGATTCAAGAAGACAGTGAGGAGCTAGTGACACTCACCGTTGTCACCCTCGTTCTCCGGTTTTACTGTGGGACGTGAGCTTTCTGTGCTCCAGAGGAGCCAGGCAGAGTGAGAGATTCCTCCAGGGTTAGTACTGTCCTGGACAGCGGAGGATCAGTTTCCTAAAACATGATCCATTTTGGCTCTGGTTTTATACTGGGCCCAAGGGGGCGAGGAGAGCTGCTGGAGTTATATGGAGAGCTGCTGTTAATTCCTCAAGTCTTGGTTTTCTGTCAACAGACAGATGTACTTTCCTGTCCAAGTGTTCCTATTCTCACGATAGTTTCTTTTCTGTGGAGCAATATATATGTCCTGTGGACCTGCAGAATTTGCAACCAGCCCTTGCATGTACATAAAACACAGGTGCAGATTAAGGAAAGACTTGCAGCTTCCTTTGACATTAAAAAGTAGTAAAGAGGATTTACAGTTCATTAGGAACCTCCCCCATCCTTCCAACCATTTCACGCACCTCTCCAGTGTTTCAGTGCCGTTCCCTTACTTAAGGGTCCTGGATACCTTATCCTGTGTTGAAGTTTCTAAAACACGTTTGTTGGGGGGTTTTTTTGGACTCATGTTCTTGGACCCAACTTTGTGAACAGTGGTTAGTTCCACTACAATTGTACCCATATTAGTCTCTTCACAAAAAGTCCAGGTCAATTCCTGTAGCTGCTGTGCTGTCAAATGGAGTATGTCAACTCAAGTTGCTTTATACCAGCTGGAGATGTGGACCAGTGTGCTGAAAGATGGAGAAGGCAGTTGCTGCGGTGTGTTTGTTAACTTTGTTGGCCTGAAGGCATGTGCAGTAAGAGAACTTCCATCATTCTAATTCATTCCCTAAATGTTTTCCTCTCAACAGCTCTGAAAAGTCCAGCTGCATTTCATGAACAAAGAAGGAGTTTGGAGCGGGCCAGGGTAAGATGTGATGTTGTTTTTAATGTTATTGGGAAGTAAGGAGTAGTGTCTTAAGTTTTGGGCGTCCTGTAGCTGTTAATGAAATGCAAAAGGGAGCTGTTCATATTCCAGACGTAATAGAGCGCTATGTAGTCAGAGATGTATTGGATGGGGTCTTCTTCAGATTGTACTTGGTGGTAGTTAACCCTCAGTGCCTAAAAAACATTGAGTATAGTGCCTAGATTTGCCTTGGAGACTTCGTTCTGGAAGTCACTGATATTCTTCTTCCCCACTGTCCGTATACTTTACATTTTTGTTTTTATGGTCTTTGTTTTGCCCTTAAAGGCTCCTACCCTGTGGAGTTAAGTTCCACTTTTGAAGACAGTATATGGTTTCTCTGTTACCTGCACGTGCACTAATTTATCCAACGCATTAGAAGTTGAAAATGTAACACAGAGGATCCCCCCTAAAATCTTGTAATACTGAAATGACACAGACTTCTGGCTCTGTAGAAAGAGGAAGTAGGCGTCATACTTCATGCAGCACCTTTGCTAACTGGGGAGTTTCTTGATGATTTCTGTTCTGCAAAAGGCCTCTGGGGATAGTTTTTTTTATTTTCTTTTCTCATTAGTCTACAGCGGAGTAAAACCTGTTATGACTGCTGGGCTAAGTTTTGTTTTAACAGTGAAACCAGCATAAGTAAAAAAATAACAGCTGTGATTAAAACCTCTAAGGGAGTGTTAGCACTTTAAACTGGAAGGATTGGAACAGTGGCCTTTACAGTAAGACCAGTGTCCCAAATCTTTTTGCTTCTTCCTCTTCTTTTCTTTTTCTCCCTAAAACCTGCTTATCAAGTTAATATCTTGGTATGGGCAATTGAACAAGTGCTTCAGCTCTTGGGGAAGTCCTTTCCGTTTTCTGTTGTGCGGGACAGCAGTGCACAGTTAGACTGAGGCAATTATATTAGAAGGTCATCTTTAGAATAAGCTCATTCTCTGGGACAGAAGATATGCCCCTTCTCTATTCTGTGTTTATTTAGATCTCAGTAACAACTAAAGATGGTTGTTTGTCTTGTTTGTGCTGTCCAAGATTACCTCACTCCTGTGTCTGATCGACTGAAACTGGTTCTTGCTTGTCTGTTTTTGCTGCAGACAGAAGACTATCTGAAACGGAAAATCCGGTCCCGGCCAGAGAGATCAGAGCTGGTTAGGATGCACATTCTGGAAGGTATGGCACATGCCAAACAGGAAAACGTCAACAATAAGCTTTATTGTAATTGCTTATTTAACAGCTTTCTATTCTGCCTCTGACCCCCAAATCTTTCTTACAGTTGGGAGTGGGCAGAAGATCATGCCTGTTGCATGATTTCTTGGGAGAGATTCAACTCTGCTTGCGTGGAGATTCTCAGAAGAATCTGTTACAGGAACTCAAACTGTGCAGTTTTGTGTAGCCGACAAAGAAATAGGATGACCATGGATTGTCTACTAAGGGAAGACACTAAAATATCCAAGAGGGAGTGAGGCAGATGCAGTCTAATTAGTAAGCACCTCCATTTCAGAGAGGGAGTACCACATCTTTGGACACAACTGAAAGGGAAAGGATGAACAAGAATTGGGTGACATCAGTTTGAGAACAGTGAATTTGTCCTATTCTAGAGTCACAAGGGCTGCTGTAGTTACTTTATAACTTAACTGTAGATAATATCTGTAATATCTTTATAGTGCAGTTATCTCTTGTTACCTGCAACTATTTTTTGTACAGTTATCTACAGTTACTTTTCTGACTAGAAGTGAAATACTGCTCAAGTACATAGGTTGACCATTGCTGGATTGATGCCATTTTATTTACTTTTCCCTGAACAGAGACCTCAGCTGAACCCTCCTTGCAGGCCAAGCAGCTGAAGCTGAAGAGAGCCAGGCTGGCAGATGACCTCAATGAGAAGATAGCGCAGAGGCCAGGTCCCATGGAGCTGGTGGAGAAGAACATCTTGCCTGTGGAGTCGAGCCTGAAGGAAGCCATTATTGGTAAGGCCAGAGGAGGGTGTGTGTTGAGGGCAATTCCCACAATGGGCTGTGATTTCCTATCAGTTCACTTGCCTGTCTGAGGGAGTCTTGTATTCCTGTGTCAAAATCAGACTTTTGGTTCTGAGAAACAGAATTTGCTCTGGCCGAAATAGTGCTATGGAGACATTAAATTGTAGAGAGTGTGGGCATCCCAGAATAACGTGAAAGCAATTGCATACCCTGAAGACTTGAAAGACTGTTGAAGATCACATTCCCTGAATTCTCTCCTTAAAAATCCCTCTCTCAGTATAATATGTCAGCAGCCTTGGTCATGGAGAACACCCTGACTTACTCAGATCAGGGAGAGGAGACAGAATATAAACAGGTGTGATGAAACAAAAGCTGTCTGTGAACTTAAAAACTTCAGAGGATTCAACCCCTTTAAAAATAAACCAGAACAGATGTAAATCATGCCAGTGCCATTCCAAGGGCTGAAAGGAATGCTGAGGAATAGCCTTCCCACTGCCTCAGCAGTGCTCTTTCCTGTCTCCCCAGACTGAGCAGTCTGTGCGCGTCTGTGGTTATTCATCCCCCCAAACACGCACGGCTACTTTAAAGACAAATGGGACACAACTGTGAGCAAGATGGAATACTTCTCATGAAAAAGGAAAGGGAGAGTGTTGTGGGAGCCTGACTTCACTATTGCACGAGAAGGGTTTGAGGACGAGAAAGAGTGAACTTGTGAACTGGAGCATTAGAGCTGTGGCTTGCTTCTGACTGAGCAAAATACATCTCTCTTGGATTTCTGTTGCTTTTATGTAAGGTGCAAACAATAGTATTTTCCTGCCTAGCAGGATTAATTTGAGATAATATAATCTGAAAAACATTAGTGCGTTACAGACGTACACTCACCTTAATTTCTCTACTGGACGTGTAGAGAGTCAGAAATGCTAATAGCAGGCAGGGCCACCACTTAATCCTTAGTCCTTGTTGCTTGTAAGATTCGAGGACACTTTGGGATTCTGGCCTGAAGAGGGATTCTACCTTCCACTGCACAGGACAAACACCAAAGACTCATCCTTACACTGTCTAACGTTCTTGTTTGGTGCCAGATGGTGATAAAATGAGCCATGCCACAGAGCTGAGTTTGGGCAGTTAAGTAGCTCTTTTTATACTTCCTGATCTTATCTGGCTAAGAAGTGAAGGAAATGGTTCATCTCAGTCTGCATCATTTTATTCTGCTGATAGCAGAGATGAATGTAAATACTTAAAAGCTATCCAGCTTGGGTTCCGTTCTCTCATTTTCAGTTGCTACTTTAAGCACAGCTTAGCCACATTATCTTTATGAAGCATCTAGTGTCAAGTGAAATAATTTCTTATTCTGCTTTAAAGACCATAGCTGATGTTTGTTTTCAGTTGGACAGGTGAACTACCCAAAGGTTGCAGACAATTCCTCCTTTGATGAGGACAGCAGTGATGCCCTCTCCCCAGAACAGCCAGCCAGCCATGAGTCCCAGGGGTCTGTCCCATCGCCGATGGATTCCCGGATTTGTGAGCCTCCCCCTAGCACCACCGGCACGTCACTAGCTCAGGTGAGATTGTGGTGGCCTCCCGCAGTGCCTTGGAGTTTCACAGCTAATGCTGATTTGTGGCAGAGGATCCTAAAAAGTGAGAACAAGGGATCCTTAAAAAGTAGAGTCTGTGAGATTTCATGAGGGATCTTAGCTCTGGGTTGGTGAAGTCCGCGGGTTATTCAGAGGCCCCCATAGTGGTACCATTTGTGGGAGAGGGGCGAACATTACTTGGTGATACGGCCTCTGTGTGACTGATTCTGCTGGACAAAGCTGGGAGATATGGGTGTGGGATTTTGATTCCTTTTCTGCCCTGTGAAGTTACGCTGCTTCTCCGGGACGACTGAAGCAGTGGGTTAAAGGAGTGTGATTAATGACTTGAAACCTGTGCTGCTTCCCTGTAAGTGGACTCTTCCTGCACTCTCTTAAAATGTTTCCCCTCTACTACATGTGTTCATTATGTCTTTTTCTTTCCCTGCAGGGTACATCCCAATTGCAGATTAGCACAGACTCCAGTGAAACACTTTTCCTACCTGAACAGCCACCCCCGCCTCTGCCACCTCCGCCTCTTCTGCCCACTAGTCTTACCAATGGAGCGGCTCTTACTGCTGCCAAGCCGCCACCAACGCTCATTAAGGTATTACTTTGGTTAATTTCTTCATTGCCATAGTCTGAAGGAAGATAAAGTGGTGACTCTGAAGAAGGTTTGGAGTTGGAAGTATTGTGTTAGCACATGCAGAGGAAAGAAAACTTATTTCTCACTAGTGTCTTCCTGTGACACTAGTTGTAACATATCTAATGGGATTTTCTGTTCCATGATGTATTCACCTGAATACAAAATGTTTTGAAACAATCAGTGTTATCCATAATTAGAGTCAGTGAATCTGCACTGGGTGAGCAAGCGATCTGTTGTGCTGGGAAGGGGGACCTGCATTACAGTGCAGTGTAAGCTGCTGCAGGTGCTGTGACTATATTGCTGCCTGAGTTAGAGGAGCATGGAAAGACACTGAGGTCAAATCTGGAAAATTTTGAAATTAAAATCCCACTGTATGTTTTGATTTACATGGGGTCTTATGTTATTTACATGTTTCCATTTTTATTTTCTTCCTCCTTCTCTTCTAAATAGCAAAGCCAGCCCAAGTCTGCTAGTGAGAAGTCTCAGCGCAGTAAAAAAGCCAAGGAGTTGAAGCCGAAAGTCAAAAAGCTTAAATATCATCAGTATATTCCCCCGGACCAAAAGCAAGACAAGGGAGCTCCTCCCATGGATTCCTCCTATGCCAAAATACTCCAGCAGCAGCAGCTTTTTCTCCAGCTTCAGATCCTCAACCAGCAGCAGCAGCACTACAACTATCAGACCATCCTGCCAGCCCCACCAAAGTACGGCATCTCTCAGGAAGCACTTACTTCCCCACTCCTGTTATCAGACATTGTGTTCTGCGTGTGAGGTGTGGCGGCTGGGTGTAATGCACTCAATCCTCTTAGGTTACAGCAGGCATCAAAAAGGGCCGCTGTCAGATCAGTCAGACAAAGGCAGCTGAAGTGAGTCGGTTGGCGGAGTAAGGGGCACGGTGTAGTCAAACACTTTGGTGTGTTTTAATGTCTAGGGTGGCACTAGTCACCCGGATGTTCCTCTACGTATGTGATTGTTGACACTGAGGGCCCCCGGTGCCTTTCCAACTTGGTTTTGATGTGTTTTTGCTTCCCTTGCAGGCCTCCAGGAGAGCAGCAGAGTGGCGCCAGTGCCCCTGCTGTACGCAATCTCTCTGCCACGGTCAGCAGCACGTCTTCAGTATCCTCTGGTTCCAGCGGGCTGATGCGACAAAACAGTAACGCTGCGGTGGGCAAGCACGGCCCTCTCCCTGCCAACCTAGATGAGATGAAGGTAAATGTCCTGTGAAGCTGTACAGCTCCTTTCTTGCTGTTGTGAGAGGGCAGTCCTTGCTGCCCCAGAGCAAGGCTGAGTGTATTTTACTAGCTATATTTCACTAACTCCTTGACAGGAGTTAGTGATAGCAGCTGGTATTGCTGCCCTGCACTCTGTACCAGAGGTGCACGTTTGTTGGCCAGCAGGAGGGTCAGTTTAGTTCTTTGCCCCATGGCCCTTATAACTGCTAGTAGTTGTTCTGGTTAAAGCATACATTCTCTTAATGTTGCCCTCATTTTTACTTTATTTTTCCCCTATCAGGTAGCAGAGCTGAAGCAAGAGCTGAAGTTGAGGGCCTTGCCTGTCTCGGGCACAAAAACGGACCTGATTGAGCGTCTCAGAGCTTACCAAGAGCAGAATGGTGCAGCTGGCCAAACAACCCCCACTCCCAAGCCCAGCCCAGCAGCCGTCCTCCCGAAGGCTGCTGAAGTGGTGGTAGCCTTCCCAGCTGCCAGGCTGAGCACAGGGCCAGCCCTGGTCACCACTGGCATTGCACCAGCAGAAGTAGTTGTGGCCACAGTCACCGGTGGCGGGGTGATGAAGTTTGGGAGCACAGGCTCGACTCCTCCTGTTTCTCCAACTCCTTCTGAGCGCTCACAAATGAGCACGGGGGACGAGAACTCGGCCACTGGAGACACCTTTGGAGAGATGGTAACTTCACCCCTGACCCAGCTCACCTTGCAGGCGTCTCCAGTGCAGTTCCTGGTGAAGGAAGAAAGCTCCAAGTCCGCTTCCTGCAGCGTAAATGCGACACCCAGATCAGAGCGGTGTAGCACTGGCAACAGCAGAGATGCAGAAGTTAGGGACAAAGACCAGATGCTGCAGGAGAAGGACAAGCAGATCGAGGAACTCACCCGCATGCTGAAGCAGAAGCAGCAGCTGGTTGAGATGCTTAGACTGCAATTAGAGCAGGAGAAGCGCTCTCAGCAGTCCCTACCGGCCCCAGCAGCTGCAGGAGAAGGAACAGCCCTTGCCTCCAACCCAGTAGCGTTTGGCACTCAGGTCAAGAGTGAAAACGGTTTCCTGAGTTGCCAGTCTGTGAAGCAATCCAGTGGCCAAACAGACCAATTCAGCCCTGCACCACCCGCTAGCCAAATGGACACTTCGAATCCAAGCCCAGTGCCAAAGAAAGCTGTGATGGTGAAGCAGGAGGTGCCAGCCGCGGAAGCAGAGCCGCCGTGCCAGTCCCAGAGCCCGCGGCTTTTCCTCGGCCAGCAAGGGAGCGCCTTGAGTGACCTCATCAAGGGCACCGCTCCCCCCACCCTCATCACCGACTCCACAGGGACCCACATCGTCCTCACCGTGACCAAGCAGAGCACCGAGAGGCAGGGCCTCTCGCCCCACGGGAAGGCAGGGAGTAGCTGCCCGGCCGTGCAGGTAGGCGACGGTTGGGTCACATCCCTGCTGCGGGCACTTGGGTTCCTCTCTCCCTCTTCCTGCTCCCATGGTTCTGGTTACCAGAGGGTGACTTAACGCAGTAGTAATTCAGTACAGTAAATACTAAAATGGCTGAGTTGCTTGCTACGATGGCTGGTAGATCGTGGCTTTGTAAAACAGAGCAGTGTAAGCAGATCTTCAGCAAAAAGACTGGAATTTGACAATGATGAACTGTGTACAGTGATGCACGATTGACCATGTGCGTCACAGGCTGTTCAGCATTCTTCCAAACACATGGTTCTGCCTTTTGTCAGGCAGGATCTCAGGCTTGGAGGACAAGGGTTTGCTGCCACGTTTCACTAGTTTTTGAAAGGACGACTACGCCTGTGGTAGTAAAAAAGCAGAGTGTATTTCACTTCTTGTCCTTCCCTGGAGAGATTGTAGTCAGAATGATAGATAGGTCACTACATCTACCACAGCTGAAATCAGACCCTGGAAGCAGACTTTTTGCTTTCCGACTGCTCTTTGTTTTAATGCTTGTCAGTATTTCAGTGTTAAGGGAATCTTTCATCATAGACGATCTGCTACTCCCCTGTTGGCATGAGCTCAGCACTTAACAGAAGTGTTCTGAGTGCTTTTTCCAGGAAGGGATAAATCTGCCCAGGTTTTATGGCATAAGTCAAACCTCGGCATCTGCTGTGGCATCAGAGATTTTCATTCTCTGCTGCTACATTTCTTGAACCTTCTGCAGGGCAAGTGGCAGCATCTGCCATCCAGGGACAGGCACTGAACAGGCTGCACTTGCTGTGTAGCAGGTGAGATGCCAGGCAGCTGCCTAAATATCGGCGTCCAGTGTCACCCCTGATACCGCAGCGTATCTCACCTGTACTCCGGCCGCTGTTCCAGAAGGGCACAGGTCCTGTGTCAGCTCTGCCAGCCCTTGAGAGATGTCATGAACAACTCAGGGATTTAGACTGGTACTGCCTCTTCTTTTAGGACTCTGAATCCCACCCCAATCTGATTTCTCTGCTTGGTGAAAAAGAGCAGTTGACTGAATTTCCTACTGAATAAAGAGTGGGGAAAAACCTTCATAAATCCTTTAAGAATCATAGAATCATAGAATGTTAGAGGTTGGAAGGGACATCTAGAGATCATCTAGTCCTACCGCCCTGCCAGAGCAGGATTCCCTAGGGCAGCCACACAGGAACGTGTCCAGGCGGGGTTTGGAAGTCTCCAGA